AAATTAAATGAAATGCAGAGTTTCAGTCTCCACCTCAACTCTCTTCATAAATTGAAATGCAGCCGTGGCCCTTGGATTAAGTCTGAGTCAATGGTCAAAACCAGATCTAATGGTGAAATCACTATCTTCCCCAAAATTCAAATATGAGAGGGAGATTCTCAGGACGGTGGCCAGAGCTTGCGCCACCGTCGTCCCCAATTTCCAATATCCCAAAAACGCACCAAACATCAAACCTAAACACTCAATCTTGCTCGTTTCCTCACCCTGAGTCTAACTACCACCTCCATTTCCATTGATTCAAACCACAACTCCAAAACCGATAGCAAGCTCAGATCACACTCCAAATTCAACTACCACGAATCTTGAAATTAAAGGTACTAATGTAAACTACACGTTACACTGATCAATTATCACCATCTAAACACCATTATCATTCCAAGAATCGTGATAACCGAGCTCTAACAGAAATTGCAATGCCTAAGGTTTTGTCTCTAAACCTCCATTTTCTCTACCAGAATCCATCCTAGCAATGTCTACAATCTATCTACACATCAATTCCTAGCCAATTCCCTCTAAATTATGCTATAAGTTGAAAGTTACAAACCTGTAAAAAGTGGATGAACAGAGTGGTCTCGGCTTCAAATTAAGCTTCAATTCTTTCCAGATTCCTTCACACAATCACTTTGAAGCTTCTGTATGCACTGGTTTGGATTGAAATCACTCCAATCCTTGAAACCTAATCTTGATGCAATGAAGAAAATTCAAGTTGCTTGATCACGATTCTCTGCAATTCTTCGCCAAAAAACCAACTGAATCAGTTACAATGTATATATAGAACATGTTGGAAAGATCTAGAAAGATCTGGAACAGCTCAAATAAGAAATCCAATTTCTCATCTCCTTTGAAAATCTCACATGCCAAAACCATGCCTTGCTCTGTTTCAGCTCACCCTCTCCTTTGAATTTCTCTCCTCATGGTATTTAGAACTGAATTGGAATGGTAACTCCCTTGCATTTGATCTTAAGGCATTGGATGGTTATGTTTCTTCAATCTTAAGCAACCAAAGGAAAGTGCTTGAAAATGGCCTCATTTGCAAAATGTAATATTGCCATCATTCTCAAAATACATTTTCTAATCAAAATGGTATATCACATGGACTTGTTTTGGCCATAAATCATGAAATTCCATTTTTAGCCTTTAAATTCTTCCTTTTTAAGCCATTTTTAGCAACTTTGTGATACAAGCTCATTCAACCCATCATGACTTCACATCTGACCTAAAAAACATCATTCCAAGCACATTTCATGTTGAACAATTTTACATTTGAGGAGTGGAAGATGGAGATTTTGGCACATTCTTGAAAATGACTTATAATCACAAATGCCCAAAATACCCCTGGGTTGCCAAGATCATAACTTGAGTTCCACAAATCCCCTTGAGGACTTCTAGTACTCAAATTAAATCTAAGATCAAGACCTACAACTCTTATGTTGGCCAAGAATCCATTTGAAAACTCCTTGAAGGGAAAAAGTTGCTTGGAAGTCAAGTGACTTTCACAGATAAATTTCAGTGTCCTCTAATGACCTGTAATTTGCAAGAACCATAACCTGAGTTCTATAAATCCCCTTGAGGACTTCTAGTACTCAAATTAAAGGTATTGAGATGCTCTACAAGTTTCATGTTGGCCAAAGATCCATTTGAAACTTGTATTTTGACTTATGTGTCTTTGAAGTTAGGCACTAAATAGAGGATTTTACACTGAAACCCTAATTTAGCAACTTCCCACATTCTTGATCTTTCTTTGCTTAACCTTGGCACAACACCACACATGTATCAACATACCAAACCATGAATCCCATGACCTCAAGGTAGGCTTTGATGCTATCCAATTTGCACAATTGATCTAGGGTTGACCCAGATGAAACCCTAGTTGACTGCACTTCAATTGTGGCTCTCATACTTGAATCAATGACTTGTCTCAACTTCAATATGGCCCTCTAGGAACCTCATGAGATCCATACACACCTCACACACCCCCTTCCATGTTCCACATCCCACTAATGATTCTCAACATTCCTCAAGATAGGAGCAAAACCCACATGTAGGCCCTTAAACTTCTCAAGACTTCAAAGCATTTCTTGATGGCTTGAATGACTTCTCAATATTGGATAACACCTCTTGCTAGGCTCTTCTCTTGATAGACACCCTTGTGTCTACATTGTCATTACTTTTTGTGCTTCTTATCATAGGAATGTGACTTGATTGAATGCCCCAACTATTTCTCAATTTAAAAGGAAATTTATCTTCATAAATTTCAACATCATTTGATTTTATCATCAATTTTATATTTAGGTCATAAAACCTATATGCCTTATTGTTTGTTGCATACCCAATAAATACACATTCATAGGCTTTACTAGCGAGTTTAACTCGTTGCGGATCCGAAATTCTAAAATAAGCTAGACAACCCAAGTTTTCAAATAAGACAAGTTTGATTGTCTTTTCTTTCATAAGGAAATATCTTACTTTTTAAATTGGGAACTCTATTCAGGACATAGCAAACAATCAATAAAATTTCCCTCCACCAGTGAGGTGCAGTACCAGAATTCATCATAATTGCAACAACAAGTTCAGTAAAAGTTATATTCCCTCATTATGCTTTACCATTCATTTCAGAAGAATATGGAGCAGTCGTTTCATGTATAATTCCAAGTTTAATATAAAAATCATTAAATAAACTGAAACAATATTCAGTTTCTCTATGACTATGAAGTACCTTAATCTTGTTACTAAATTGAATTTCAATCTCATTAACAAAAGTCTTAAACATAGTAATTTCACAAAAGTATCATTTTTAGTGATTATGTACAAATCTACCCCAATAGACTAATTAAATCCTGCCTTATTTAGAAGAAAACCAGAAATAAGATTCTTTATAATCTCTAAAGTATACACGATATCTTTCAAGATTAAAGTCTTTTCAAAGGTGGACATTATTCCACTTCTTCAATACCGACAACATTAGTGGTGTGGATAACTCCTAACAACACTTGCTTATTCGTGTATGTTTTAAACATTGCACGATAATAACATACATGACGAGAAAAGCCAATGTCCATCCATCAACCACCAAATTTACTAATCATGTTGATTTTAGTGATCAAAGCAATAAATTGCTCATCAATCAGTTTAACTTATGCATTAGGGGAAACACAAGGTTTAAACTCGATCTTTTATTTCTTAATCATATGACCTGGTTTTCCACAATTAAAGTAAGAGAAAACACCAGTGTCATTTCTTTATGGTGGTGATTGTTGCCTATCAATTGGAGTAATTGGGGCCTTGAAGAATTCTCATTCTTAATTTGGTTCACAACATTGCGGTTCTGATTCTTTAATCATTTGTCAAATGGCTTCAGAATTACACTGAATTTCTTTTTGTTGTTTGAAACAACCAAGACTTTTCTTTTTGGTTTTGTCTCTGAGATTCTTCTTCAACTCGAAGGCGAATTATCAGATTTTCAATTAAAACTTCTTTTGTTTTGTGGTGAAGCAGAATTTTTAAAAACTTTCAAACTAAGGGAAATTTGTCAATAATAAAAGCAATTTGAAATTGTTCATCTAAACACATACCTTTTGTGATGATCTTATAAGCAATCTTTTAAAGTTCATAACATTGAGTCTCCAAGCACATTTCATTTATACCATCTGACACTTTAGGTAGCGGCTAATGACATACTTCTTTATTCCAACTTCTTCGGTGTCATACTTCTTTTGCAGAGCCTCCCAAGCATGTTTTGCAGTATTGCAGATCATCTGCGAGTCCATTAAAAATATGATTTTGTAGAGATAATCATTCTCTTTTCATAAGGCGATTTATTTTCTAAGCTGGAAATCATTTGCTTTAATTTGTGCAGCAAATTCAGCTTCAACACTATTAAGTGTTCCATCTAAATCCATATATTTCTTACTGTTAACTTGCTCGGTTGATCCATACGGAGCAACAGGAATAGCATCAGTCAGAAAGTTTGCAAACTTTTTTCAAAAAAATTGCAAATTTTGTTGCCAGCATTTGAAGTGACTTCCCTCAAACTAGAATGGTTTGTCAAAGACAACAGCCGCAGAAGTACCAATAATTTCTTTGATAGTCATGGTAGTACTAGTATGAAACGTCTTAATATTGTTGTTCCATGATTTTAAAAATCAGTCACAGAAGAAATTATCGGGTCGAGTCGTGAACTAGGTCGCTCTCTTTAAGACGTTTAGCGACACTGCCAAAGCTCAATTTTGTATTATGCGATTATTACTTGCACGGTAGATAATCGATCTAGAAATACACCTTCTGATGGTACAAAGACCATACAAATATGGGATAAATACCACTCGTAGTATCTAATCAATCGTAATAATTTCTCAAATCAAGAAAAATTATAATAATTTTTCAAAAAGAATTCAACAATGGTCATTTAACCACTAAAAATAATTTCTCAAATAAAGAGAAGTTCAAATAATTCTTTAAAGAAAATCAAAAAATTAATACTAGTAATTTCTCAACTCAAACAAGGAGAAATTAACATAATTCTCTAAAAAGAATTTTAAAAAATAGTCAAAAAAATTTAACCAGAAAAAAAAAAAGTAAAAAATTGACACTTAGACAATTAAAAAATCTAGTTATAAGAATGAAGAAGGTAAAACTTAAAATAAATTTTTAGTGTATTTTTGAATGAAATTAAAAATTTCTTAACGATAATAAAGAGTTTTTTTAATCATACATTCACTTGATGCTGTAATAAAAAATCATTTATTTGAACGATCTGTGGAACGAAGTAATTAAATTACGACTCCATCACCAGAAAGTCTAACTTATTTCATCTCCGCTCCATTCTTCACGACATTGCTGTATACGTGTTCCGTTCATTTTGGTGCTAATTAATTACTAATTACTACTACTAATTATTATTACTGATTCACGAAGCAAAGGTAGATCGATAGAAGACGAAGATGAAGATCTCAGGGTCAATTTCGTCAATGTTCCATCTCTGTCTCTTCCTTCTCATCCTCATCGGAACGTTATCGCCATCTCACGCCGTCGACGACAAATGTGCCGCCTGTAAAGCGGTTGCGGTAACCTCACTTTCATTCCAAAACCAAACAGATTCATCTGTCACTCATTTTATAGAATTCATACAATCATCGTTGAGATTTAGTTTGTTCGTCGCTGATTTGATTTGATCCGATTCTTTGTTGCAGGGAGAGCTAGAGATTGGACTTTCCAGAGTAATTACTTGTTTTATTTCAATTCGATTCAATTCGATTGTGTCTGTATTGTATTATCATTATGATTCATTCATTCATTGAATTTACGTAGGAGAAGCCGCGGAATCATTTGGATATGCGACATCGTTTGGACTCTAAAGGCCAGCGTCAGGGGAAGTTAATCGATTACAGGTATAAAAAATTTACATTACATTATTAGTTATTAACACCTATGCATCTAAGAGTCTCTTTTCCATAAACAGCTTATTTGCAGCTTATAGCACAAGTGCTCCCCAAAATAAGCGTTTATGAATTATAACAAAAGATAAAATGAATTTAAATTGATTTTATATATGTTATAGACTTTTTTCATCAGCTATCTTAAAAATTTTATAAAAAAGGTCAGAAGCTGTTTTGGTTAAGTCTCACGAATAGTGTCACAAAACATATGGAAATAGATAAGCTCAAATAAACTCATCCAAACTGGACATGAATCAGAAGTTTTGAAGGAAGAGAGTTGTTGAAATGAATTAAGCCTTATGTAGGGAAAATTGATAACAGAATCCTTTACTTTTTTGTTTCCATAATTCAATTTGACATCTGACACTGAAGCATTTGGTCAGAATTTCATTTCTTCAAACAATTATAAGAAAGGAGAATGTATTTGTTATGCTCAGTTACTGACATTGAATGACTATATAACTAACTGTGAAACTGTTTTCTACAATATTCAGAATTAGCGAGTTAAGAGTCGTTGACCTTCTTGATGGCCTCTGTGATAAGATGCAAGATTACACACTCAGGGTACTTGCTTAATTACTTTGCATTGGTTTTGTATCTTGTCATTTTGTTCTATAGTTGTTGAATTTCTGTAAGAAAATTTACTATATCTTTTTGGTTGTAACTTGTAAGAAATTTACACGTGTCTTCCCTGTCATTTTGATTACGTTACATATTTAGATATTTTAGAATGGGTGTTATTGGCATTGCGTTTTCATCTGTTTTGCAGATATTTCCAGATTCACATGAATGGTACAAAGTGGGTAACTGGGATAACCTCAAAACAAGTATGCCTGACTTAATGAAATTTATCCCTTTGTTTGCCAACAAATCCATGTATATCCAGACCTGTTACTTGATTGAACTTCAGCCTAAAGAAAAACATGCTAAAGTTTTCATGAAAATATTATGCTATTATTTTAATGCTACACCAGTCTGTTCTAGTATATTTGGGCATTATGATAGCAATTATATGTTAAAACAATTGAAAATGATAAGTTATTTGAACAAATACTGTTCTTGACAGATAAACAAGAAGCTAAGGCATATTCGAAAGATATTTCTTCATATTGTGGAAGGTACATTTTTTAACATAAGACATTTATGGTTTTAAAAATAACATTTTTTAACATAAGCCATTTATGGTTTTAAAAATAACATTTTTTAACATAAGCCATTTATGGCATCAACGCATTTTCTTTTGCTTTTGCAAGAAGTGACTTTAAAGCTTGAGTACTGCTGATGTGCACTAACCATCTGTGTGTACTGTGACCAGATTACTTGAAGAAACTGAAGATGAGGTGAATTTTCATTTTTCTTGACTCTTCTGCAGTTATTATATCTATGTTCATCTGCATTATATGGTATGAAGAATTATTTATAATGATGCCATGTCTCGTAGCTGACTGAATTGATAAAGAAAGGATCTGTTAAAGTGGGCGATGTGAGCAAAGTTCTTTGTCAAGATTTGAGCAAACATTGCAATCAGACGAGGTAACTTCAAAGATAATAGTTAGAATTTATTTTACTCAAGTGGTTCACATGATTTTCTGGAACACATTTGTTGTAGTCGTAAGCTTTTTGTGGTAGCTAAAAGTTTGCATGGTCTAGGTTCATATCATTATTTACTGATCGGGAACATTCTCGCCTCCACTTAGCATTAGTTTGAGGAGCCTACTCTTTCTGGCCTGTTGTTCCTAATCGGGCTTATATTAATGAGTTTGAATGAGTCAATCATACAGGTGACCATTAACACATGTAGGAATTGCGATAGTTTTGGCTAATTGGCAAATACTCCAAAATGATAAACTACAAAGAATCTTAAGGGAGGAGAATATTAAATTAAATTCATTACGAGTTTCTTGCAAGTTGGCCAGTCAGAACAACATACTTGCATTATGTCAAATACTTGCACTAAATCAAAGACAGCCAATCTCTTCCCATTTATTATTCAACAATTGATGTATTCTTAAAACTCAAAAACATATACATAGAGATAACTGAGACTAATGTGTTTTTGCAGTGTATCACGTGAGGCAGAAGTGGATGTTGATGATGACGACAACGAGGAGGACGATGACGGGGAGCTCTAAAACCCTGGATAATAGGGTTACTGAAAATATCTGCTTCTGGGCAATTAAGAGTTATCAGACTGCATCACAAAATTGATGGTGCTGTCCTTGTAGTTGGAGTTAGAATGACTTTCATTTTTCTTAATTATTAAAAGACATTTTAATGATACGGTTAATCAGACTCCAATCAAATTATGATTTAGCTATGATTATGACTTCTCGGTTATTCACCACACTTGGTGGATGCCATATTTTGATTGAGGTATTGCCTCTACAGATAATTCTGCTATTTACGCAAACAAGAAACCTCCTCACTAATGCTCTGCAAATTCGATGGATGCCATATTTTGATTGTTTTGCTCTTTGATGGATGACATGCTCGGATTGTTATCTGAAAATTTGAGTTAGTCAGCCGTGTTCTTTAGACAAGGTTAAATAAAAACCAAATAAATGTAAATAATAAAGTGGTTCCTCAAAAAAGTCTCCATTGGTTTCTTTCGAAATTTGACCTTAAAAATATAAGTTCTCTGTTTGCCAAAGCAAATCAACAGCATATCAACATTGTGTTCTTTTCGTCTGTAATGTACATATGAAAAAAGGAACGGCAAAAGTTGCATATAATATTAATACATGTACCTTTCTATGAGAAAATATATGATATTAGAAAGGTGAAGGATACCTCAAAGCAGGCAGCAACCTTCACATAAACAATTTTATACATACAAATATCCATCCATACTTTCTAAACATAAACAATCTTAAAAATTTGCTAACTAACACTCTAATACACCCTTAAGTAAAGTGAGACTTTCTGCTGATATACTCCTCCTGACTCGAGAAGGAGGTATCTCTATTCTAGGAGGAGGATCTGGAGAAAAACATACAACGATAACCGTTAAGTTATCACATGAATTACGCTTAAGAGCCTCTCTGACCAACTCTCTTGAACACCTTTGAGGATCATTATGTATCATCAACTCTTTTCTTGCCATGGTAACAGCACATTGGTTACTCATAACATCCCACAGGCCATCGCAGCCCATAATCAAGAACTCGTCATCCTCGGTCAGACATACTTCTCGCAACTCTGGCTCAGCACTCAAAGGGCAAGCAGAACCTTTAGGACCCTTCATGTGCCAGTCTCCTAAGGCACGGGAAACAGATAATTGGCCGTTCAAGTATCCATCATATACCACTCCACCAAGTTTTTCAATCCTTAGCCTTTCTGAAATGCAATTTGGTTTCTGGTCTATTGACATCTCAACTGCTCTTCCTCGTCTCCCCAATACAGCTCGACAATCCCCCGCATTTGCAATTATCATGTTCCTGTCAATGATGAAAATTTCTCAAGTTGAGGGAAAGACCTTATAAGAAGTCCCACAACAATGGAAAACAAAACAAATATACGTTTCTTTCCGAACAAAACAAATATTGTTACCAAACAATGATGATAATAATACAAGTTCAATACCTCCCAAATACAAGAGCAGTTAAAGCAGTGGTGCCAGAGGAGATATCCAGCGAACTGGAATCTGCAAATGCATAATCAGCTTTCATAAACGCACTTGTAATTGCTTTCCCCGCACAAGTTGGAAACTGTGAGTCCTCGACAATGAGTCTAAGGATGTTATTTCTTACAAACAAAGCAGCATCTGTTCCTCCATGACCGTCAAACACCTGAACAATGAGTATGTGTTACAGAACTGTTGTGGGATTAATATGCAGACAAAAATAGAGTCTGATCTCCCGGTACGAGCAACAAACTTCAATCCCTTAAAACAGCACCTTTTATGTTATCATAAATATAAACATTTCTAATCTATCACTCATTTAGTTTTTAGTAATGTCAAATTCTAACAGTTTCAACACATGAATGTAAAAATGAGGCTTGATCATCATAGCACATGTGTAAACTGTAAAATCGGGTGAGAATAACATACGAACCCCGTAGAAAGCTCCAGGAAAAGGAATATTTGAAGCAGAACCTATGTGTTGAGTAAGATCATCTATACATATGTGTTCATCTTCCATATATTGTTTAGGCCCTCTTTCAGCACAACTTCCTGATCGAAATATGGGTAGATAATCTGTCTTGTCTTCAGAAGATGACTTACTTCCAGTTACCCCGGGATCTACACCCTTATAAGAGACAGAGAGAAACATTTAAATCAGAAAACCTTAGCTTTTAAAATAATAATATTGCAGAAGAAGTAAATATTAGAATTGTTCATAGTTATCAATCCCAGATTGTGAGCGGAGCGGCCAGCCCCAATAATGGAGTGGAGCAGAAGCCTGGAGTGGAGTGATATATTTAGGAATTGTTATACACTTCATTGATTCTAATAAACACATAGTTAATGAAAAATGAAATAAATTATTCAAAGTTCATGAAATATTCATAATTAGAAGTAGAAGCCACAAGTCTTAAGCAAAACATATTTGTAAATACCAACAAAATTCAAGGAAACAAACAAGTTAAACATTTGAATTTTAAAATAACTAAACATTAAAAGTCAAATAAAAGTTTAAACATCATGAAAATCTAATTCTTCATCATCACTTTCTCCACTACTAGATTTGAAGTCCTTTTCATCCTCTCCACTATATGTTGAATCAACATCTTTATCATTTTCTTGTATTACCACATCCATTGATGATGATGGTTGAGAATTACTAGGAGTTATCATAGTTGTTGAAAATAGCAATACAAACATAGCACACAATTATAGCAAGATCAATACGAAGAAGTCGAGAGGAAAAAAATAACAGAAACACGGAATAGGAAAAGAGTAGGAGAAGAAAAGAATTGTGTCGCAAAGTAAGAGAATAGAGGGATTTATGAGAGCCTTTAGATCGAAAGACATAATCATTTTTGGCCAATCATGAGTTGTAGCGGCTTTCCTCTCACGCCGCATCACCAATCTAGGACGCTCCAAAGCTTCTGGGAGCAGCACGCTGCCGCTATAGTGGCGACAATGACAACTTAAAAATGGAAATAAAGTTCCACTTTTCCAAATGTGGTTTATGGAATCTTAAAATCATTCATTTTTACATCAGTTTATCAAGCAACTAAATAATGAATACTGACAAGAGCATTAAAACTACAAAAAAAAGTACTACAATTTTAAAAGCCTCTTCCTAATAAGTGCTCAGAGAACATTTGTTAAAAGAAACAATAAAAGAAAAGTTTGTCTTTGAAATCTCAAGTTAAACACTTATCAGTGTAATAAACACATCATTTTTCCACATAAACCTATCTCTCTTGATTCCTTAACCAATGCCCCAAAGAGAATATACACAATCATCTGAAAATCATAGATAGCAAAGCAAAAAAAGTAAAGTAATGTAGTACAAACAAAACAAAGGCACAAAACATAACATAGCATAACCTTAAGAGATTACAATGATTAAGCTGATTAACAAAATTGAGTAACTTACCAAATTTGCTGCAGCCAGCACCAATCTGGTAGAGCTAACGCTGTGTCTCAAACCAGACACATGCCTTGGAGGTTTACCCTTTGTAATTGGTTTCAGATTCTTAAAACCCTCTGATTTATCATCATCACCATCATCATCAACAGCAACCAGAAAATCATTCTTTTTATTGTAATCATCGCTTCCAAACATCGTAAACGGAGGAGAACAATAATCTATACCCTCAAGCATAATAGTTTCTTCCAAATCATACACACAAAAACACTATTTTTAGGGGAAAAATGTTTCAATTAGAAGAATTAGTTAAACCAAAATCGATAAATAAAGTACCTAACCCTGATAATTTAAGAAAGAGGAACAAATTGAAGACGGTGAATTGAACGGATTAGGTGATGGATTGAAGAAAAAGACGAAAATTGGAATTGAAATTGAAATGGAAGGAAGACGAAGAAGAAGAGAAAGAAAAACTGCACGGCTCGATGTGCGTGTGGCGGTTGTAGATGGGGAATATGGACACGTGGTGTGATTTGATTGGGTGATGTGGATGGGATAAAACTGGATTGTGTCCTAGCCGTTGGATGAGTTAGGAGATACTTGGACGTTGGGTTTGTTCTTCTGACAGATAACAAAAGTCAAGGGACAGGCATTGGATTCTTAAACTATATACGTGTCTCTATATCATTGGATGCTTCTCTTACCGTCTAAATCTTCTCCATATTTCTTCATTATTTAAATTTGCAATTTCTTTTTTCTTCACCACTAATATCTAGTTTACCGGCTGATTAATTCGATTTAAAAGGCAATTTTAATATAAAATAATTTTTAGGTAAAAATTGAACTGTGATCCTTTCTATTAAATAGAATTTCAATCTCTACTAAATCAATTATGTTTGTGATATTTATAGGAATTAAATGTTAGTAATAACCATTGAATAATACAATTTTAAAAGTACTTTTTTTTTACCTACTCATAAAATCTTCTTGTTAAAGTAGAGTGGTAAGCTTTTAAATTAGCATGTTATTATTGTCTTCTCTTTTTATGATATATGCAAATCAATTTTGTTTTTTGTTTTTTTGTTTTTCATAATATTTGTGGAAGATTGGATAAAAATGTGAGAGGTATTATTTGTGTGGGGAGGAGATATGGTCATGCATATTGTGAGTTGGAATAGAATAATATAACTAAAAGGCCATGTGAAATTGGGAATCAAATTCATGCTTTTGTAAAATGCGTTATATTGAGTAAGTTTGTTAATAGAGTTTTTTTTTTAAATAATTATTATTTTTTATTTATATTTCAAAAATAATTATTTTTTAAATAAATTATCAAAATAACTATTTTTTAAATAAAAAATAATTGAAATTGCTACTCAAATTGATAAATGCATTTTAAAATTGTAGTCAATTTGAGTGACGATTCTAATTTTTTTGTTTAAAAAATTATTTCTTTAATAATTTATTTGAAAACATAATTATTTTAGTATATAAATTAAAAATAATAGTTATTTAAAAAAAAATCTTGTTAAGAATATGTTTCAATCTAAAAATAAACTATACATTTATATCTTTTCTGACAAATACTTTTATGATTATTATTATTTTAGTTGGCAAAACTCAGAGAGCTCATATCTGCTTAGATGATTAATTTTAAAGTTTTGAGTTTCTTCCATAAAAATTTCATGTTCAAGATATAAGATTTGATTTAGATGTTTAGAATATTTAGGTTAGATTTGGATGAAAGGATTAGAATTAACTAGAGCATAATAAAATATAATGAAATAAAATGGAGTAAAGGGGAATGAAACATGTATTTTATTTTATTTTATTATTTATGTAATTTTTATAATTTGACGTAATGGAACAAAATAAATTAGTTTATTTTACTTCATACACTATAGATTTAAATTAGTTTATTTTACTGCATACACCATAAATTGAATATTAGATGGAATGAATTTCATCATGTTCTATTACGTTTCATCTATTATTTGCAAATTCAAACATTAAAACTAGATTATACACCACTTCATTTCATTCAATTCCACCATATTCTATTAATCCAAATATATCTTTTGTTGTGAATCTTGTTGTGAATTACGATAAAATTCAATATCAATTTGTGAGGCAAAGAAAAATAGCAACTAAAATAAATGATCTTCAGTAATAATATCTGTACACATATAATATAACAGAATAAGGCAAGAAAAAATCGAAGGTTTGTTTACCCAGTTCGATCAAACATCTATTTTGGGGGAGATGGTAGCTCTCCAATTCACTATACTCAGAAAGTTGTTACAAGAGATTACAGATGAGTTACAAGAAAATAGCCTTCGCCTTCAGGCTCCCAAGAACAACCCTGAAAGCGTCCATGGACAACCCTATTTTCTACCCAAGTGTTTCCCAACCTCTCCAACTCTCAATATATGAATTACTCAAACCTAAGAAAATTTTATTTGTGCATAGCTGAAACTCTATGTTATACCTTTAAACCCTTGGTCTCCCTTGTTGGTGAAAACTCTAAGATTGTCACACACCAAACATATAAGAGATACACATTTATAATAGCAAATATCCAACAAACAAAGCCCAAAATCACATGGATCAATGGACAAAATCGAAAAAAGCTCGAAAACACTATTCACTGTACGGATGTCACTATTCATCCGTACGGATAATACTATTCACCATACGGACGGTACTATTCACCGACCAATTTTTTTCCTCGACTTTTCATCCAATTTTCGCGATAAATGCAATCTCCAAAATATATTTTCTTTCTCTTCATCAACAAAGGTTTTAAGGAACATTTACAACACCTTTAGTAATACAGTTCAGGAACTTGAACATACTAATTTAAACTTATATACCACTTGTGTTGTTTCTAATCTTCAAATAATGTTGTCATCAAATGTAATTTAGTTATTCAAGAAGTTAGTCTTTGTTTTGTTCAAATATTAGAGGCTACTTGAGTTTTGAAGAATAGCTTTAATAGAACTTAGTCCTTAAAAATAATTATCGGTGGTTTCTTGCTTAGTATTTCCCACTTAATATTTTAGAAGACGAAGGTTGATTTGAAAATTACTAGTGGTTGTAAATGTACAATTTTTATTCAACAAGTGTGTCATGGATCTATTCTCGTGTAATTCATAGAAGGTGTAAATGTACAATTTTTACAGTGCTATAGCAGTTAGATGACATAAGTGGTTTTGATGATGATAACACTTATTCGAAATCTTCATCTGAAGTTATGATTAAATTGTTATGTTTGGAAGGTCAAGATCTCTTAAAGACAAAACCTAATGTCAAGAAGAGTTTGGTGTACTCCCAGGTGATTCAAATAAATAAATCTCTATGATGATGTTATCTATCAAGAAGTTTTTATCAAGCCTCATGAGTATAAGAAGTCAAATCCTAAATCATTGATGAATCATGCAAGAGATCTTGAAGTTTTAGAGATTGTGAAAGAGAGCAATTGTGAAAGCCCGTTTGGTTTGTGTTTTAGTGCTTATAGTAATTCTTCTAAGAGATATTATAGTAATTCTTAAGTTACTAATGCAATGCACACACTCACCTAAAAGTATTTTAACCTCTCTATTTCATAAAACACCTTAAAACGCTTAAAGCAACCATTAAGGTGCTTATGAGATTGATCATGGGTAAGGATGGAAAACGAGCATGCTTGCCCCGTTTAGGCCCATCCCACAAAAGCCCATAAAAATATGATGGGGGCAGGGTATACATTATTAAGGGTGCGAGCCTAAAACACTGGTTTGCCTCGAAAAAAAATGTTAGTGGGACTGGCCCACAAACACTTCACCGTTTTAGCCTAATAAAAAGGATTCGTGAACCTATACGACCAAACTCGATACTCCGTAAACTTCTGAACTAGACTCGCTATCTAAGAACCTCTGGCCGTCCTTTTCAAGTTGTCTCTCTATGGCCACAAGAGCCTCTGTCAACTTTCATGCTACTTTTATGGCGTTCTATTTTCTGGAAACCTCAAAACATGTTTTCATTCTCTCTGTCACTTGAGGTTTTAAGACATAATTCTACAAATCTTCACCTTGACTGTAAATCGATGGTGGTGTCAATTTACCCATCAAACACTTTTTTTCTTTCTCCAAGTTGAAATCATTAGTCAAAACCCTTGATCAAGTCCAAGTCACGCTTTGAAAATACAAAAAATATGTCTTACTTGCTTTGTTTATAAGTTAGGGTTTTGCATCGAAGAGTTCAAGTGGTTGATCAATCAGGGTTTAGTGTGATCCTCAACATCCCAAGCTCCTCCACTCATTCATGGTGATCAAGATACTCCCTTCATCAATAATAAAGTTTGATTTTGCATTAATTCAAGGTCATCAAGTCCCAATTCATCAGAAGCCCCAAATTAAGGTTTTCGTCAAAGTCAACTTGATGTTGACTTTTTTTACCAAAACATGATATCATGGCTTGGAACATGATTCAAGAGTTTCAAATACATCTTTATGGTCCATTCATATGATTCAACTGGCTCAAGAAGTTTGATCTATTGATGGTTGAAAAATTTTGATTCAATTGCTAAAAGCCAACAAATGTTCAAAGTCAAAGTTTAACTTTTGAAAATTTTGGTCAACCATGGACTTCTCAAGTCAAGAATCAAGAAAGTGTGAAAAATGATTTAGTTTGATCAATTTAAATTAATAAAATCAAGAAAAGGTTAAAAGTTGTCAAAATTAGGGTTTTGAAATTTTCCCTAAGTACCAAAAATTCATGTTCAAGTGACCAACTTTCCAAGGCCATGATGTTTTATTCAAGCATCCATTTGAAACACTTAAAGGCTGTGATTAAAGATGATGTTCGATACTACAAGTTAATAAAAATTTGAATCCAAAAATCTTCCTAGAAGTGGAAGAAATTGATGGTGAAAGTTGAGGTTTCAAGTTGTTGCAAGTTTTAAAACACTTAGAAATTTTTCTGTTTTTTACCATTTCCAAGAGCATGACTCTATGGACAAATTGTAAACAATCCAAGAAATCATTATTGATGCTTGAGGATTGTATTTAAAGAGCATATTTCCTACTCCATCATGGTAGAAAATATAATCCAAAAAGCTTTTGCCAATTAAGATAAATGGGAGGCTAAAATTGAGGTTTCATGTTGGTGATCCTAGCAAAATAAGCCAGATTTTACAAAGTGTTGGATCAGTTTGTTTGGCACGATTTTGGAGTCATTTTTGAAAACTTTTGAAACTT